TTATAGATGAGATGAAGAATACATGTATTTTATTTTATTTGTTATTTATTTTTTAAAAATATATTTTATTGATTTTTTACAGAGAGGAAGAGAGAGGGATAGAAAGTTAGAAACATCGATGAGAGAGAAACATCGATCAGCTGCCTCCTGCACACCCTCCCACTGGGAATGTGCCTGCAACTAAGGTACATGCCCTTGACCGGAATCGAACCTGGGACATTTCAGTCCGCAGGCCGACGCTCTACCCACTGAGCCAAACCGGTTAGGGCAAGATAAAATTTAAAAATAAAATAAAATAAAAAAAAAAACTGGAAAAAGAAGAAATGGCCCCAGTGATTACCGAAGGGCTTACATACCAGCAAGGGAAATCTTAACTTCTGACCACTCTGTCATGTCACTCTGTTTTGGTATTAGGAAGAAAAATTAATATAATCTTGATTTCTGTATCCTGTACTGATTCCTTTCACTGCACACATGCAGCTTCTACATTAATTACTACTTCATCACAATCCTTTCACTGTCAAGTGTGCAAAAAGAAACAGAACCTACACCCCGCTAGGTGGCAGCCTTGATTATGTAAACACTTTCATGCAAAAAGGCCTCAGTGACTATGTCTTCATTTTCCTGTTTTAAAAACAAACTCTGAAAAATAAATTATAAACTCAGCAAGTGTCACTTGAGAAATTCACAACGCTCCCAGGGGCTACGTTACACCGACACTGAACGGTACCACGAGTACGGAGGACTTTGTGTCCAAAATTGCCTCACCGGAAGTGTTCCGGTTCCAGCTTGCAGAACCAAAACATAAGCAAGACCGACTGACGTCTGGCAGGGACGTTACAATGCGGCCATTCAAGAGTCTGTAATACAGATGCTACCTTGCAGTGTCACACACTTCCCCGCGGAGGGCTAAAACGTACTCACATGGGTCATATTAACTAGGAAGCTAAGTAGCTTCATGTTTATCTCCCGGCCTCCTCCCACCTGTCCACATTCCTAAACACGTAAGGCTGAACCTCTGCACTACCTTCTTCAGGAAAAACCGAGCCAAAATTCATTCAGGAGTGGACGTTTTCTTCTTTGATTGTATCCTTTTTACAGCAATTACTAGTAACGCGTCCACTGATTCTCTAGTTGATGCCTTTGGATACATTTTCACAACCAATTACTATATTTATTTGTAAGTCTATCTAAATGACTTCCTAAAATCCCAATTTCTATTTTGGATTGGGCATACTTCAAAATTAGCAGTCTTTGCTATGCTAACTTGTAGCTATCTCTTCATAGTTGGTTGGCATTATTTGATTTCAGCTTATAAAAGTATTTTTTTTATCTTCACCCGAGGATATGTTTATTGATTTTGAGAGAGAGAGAAAGGGGTGGGGGGAGGGAGAGAGAGAGAAAATCAATGTGAGAAACATTCATCAGTTGCCTCCCATACTCTCCCCAACCGGGGATTGAACCTGAAACCTGGGTACGTGCCCTGACTAGGAATCGAACCCGCAACCTTTTGGTGTATGGGACAATGCTCCAACCGACTGAGCCACCCAGCCGGGGCTCAGCTTACAAACCTTTTATACCAAATGGAATTGTGGGTTTGTCTGAAGGGAGGCTGGAAGGGAAGAGGGTGATTTTGAAACTTGTTTATAGTAAAATATTACCAAGTCAATTTTCACTCAGGGAGACTTTATTCAAAATGCCTACATGAAAGTATCTTTTCAAAACTCCAAGACCCAGTTCTCTGGCTGGAGTGCTCCCCACTCTGTGGTGCTTGATTAGCTCTTGCAGGCTGGGGCCTGACTGCAAGGAAAAGGCCCCCCCTTAAAGAGAAGGAAGAAACAAAGTCAGGCGGGGAGGACAAGCGGGGTGAGCAGCTTTGACCAAGGAGAGGGACTGGCCAACAGGCATCTGGGTCGGGGAGACAGAGAGAGCTGGGCCACAGCGTGGTGGGGGCAGGGAGAATAGAGGTGGAGTAACGGTCCTAGGATATGCTAAAATGACTGGCTCTATCAGGTGAAGGAAAGAATGGCTTTCTCTGAATTCACAAAAGAGAATATTTTGTATTTCAAGCTACAAAATAATCAAGTTCAACACCACACTTGCCAAAAAGGAAATGCACAATATCAATGTCAACAACAGTCATTTATCTTAACTTGAAACCCCCAAATCCTGTCATTGGTAATATTTAAGCTAATGTACTTGCAAAGAAGAGTCTAATACTTAAGGTCGTCCTGAATAAAAACTATAAAATTAAGTTATCAATCTTAATCACTTCTACTGTAGAAATCAACTTTTTAAAAAATATATATATTTTTTAATTTATTTCAGAGAGAAAGGGAGAGGGACAGAAAGACAGAAACGTCAACCATGAGAGAGAATCACTGATCGGCTGCCTCCTGCATGCCCCACACTGGTGATTGAGCCCTGACCCGCCTGGAATCAAACCATGACCTCCTGGTTTATAAGTCGATACTCAACCACTGAGGCACACCGGCCGGGCAAAATCAACTTTCTTTTCCCAACGTTACCCAACTGGATTCTTCTAGTGACACCAAAAATGTTACCTCCGTACAATGAGCACCCTTGATTTAGAAAGCAGATAAATTATGGACAAAGGAAATAGCTAGAACCCCCTCTATTACAGTTACAGTTAGAACTAACTATACTTAGGTAATACCGCTAACTACTTAAAATAGCAGAGCTAGCTTCCACATGGGCTAAGGAGAAATTCAGAAAAGTCAGATGAAAGGCAGTAGAGGTAGCTTTTGCCAAAGTAATAAAAATACCTCAGAAAGAGATCAAAGTGCTTCAGTAAAGCCTTCAGGTTCTTCTCAGAAAAGGCCATCTTTCCAAGGATTTCTGGAAGTTTCACTGCATCGAAAAGAGAAGCAAAACCATTTACCACGGGCAGCATCTGGCAACGGGTAGGACACACCCAAGGACCGTCTGGGTCTGTTTACCCTTTTTTAAAAAATATATATATATTTTATTGATTTTTTACAGAGAGGTGGGAGAGGGATAGAGAGTTTGAAACATCGATGAGAGAGAAACATCGATCAGCTGCCTCTTGCGCACTCCCTACTGGGGATGTGCCCGCAACCAAGGTACATGCCCTTGACCGGAATTGAACCTGGGACCCTTCAGTCCGCAGGCCAATGCTCTATCCACTGAGCCAAACCGGTTAGGGCTGTTTACCCTTATTTGATCGGAAACGAACATCCACGTTATCAAACAAAACTAAGAACTCTGCGTGAACACAAAGACACAGCGATAGTACAAATATTACAAATATAATTTTTAAGAAATTTAAGATTTATGAAGGGCCTTTTTTTTAAGAGGTTCCCTTTCAACCATTTTTCTTAGACCCCAACATTACCACAAGATGTACATAAGCCAACAAGTGTGTTAAAGCAAAAAAAAGGGGGCGGGGGGAAACCAGGGACCAGGATTTCTTACCAAACAATCGCAGCAAGTGTTGCGCCCCATAAATGTAAGAGGGCGGAGGCGGCTGGTCGCCCGGAGGGTAACTCTCGGGTACAAGTTTCCAGGAGAGGACCTGGGAAAGGCAGAGAGGGAACGCTTTGTTACTGCATCTTACCACTCCGTTGGCAACAGTCTCAACATCCGGAATCCCGGCAAATCCCGGCAAATCCCCGTGTGCTTTGCCATTCTGTGCCCGATCACGTGTCACCCCCCCACCCCCACCCCCCAGCTTGCCGGCCCTCTGGCACCTCAGGAGTTGCTCCACAGCTGGACCAGGAAAGGAAGGGAATAGTGACCATTTCCTGACAATGTGGAAGTCCTGAAGGTAGCCCTCCGACTTTCCCATGGAGCTCTTTGTGGGTATGATCTCAGGACATAGGAGAGTATAATGTGTTTTTATGCTGAAGAGGGTCGAGCTACAAAATAATTAAGTTCAACATAATACTTGCAAAAAGAAAGAAATGCACAATATAAAATATTGTGTAGAATTATTATGTCAATACATAGGGGAAAATATTAACGTTCGTTTATTTTAGTGGTGGAATTATATAAATACATAGGGAAAAATATTAAGAACTATATACTGAAATGTTAACGTTCATTTTTTTTAGTGGTGGAATTATATGAATACATAGGGAAAAATATTAAGAAGTATATACCGAAATGTTAACGTTCGTTTTTTTTTAGTGGTGGAATTATAATATAGGGGTCATGAGAAGATAAACATATGTGTTTTCCATATAGATTATATATTAGCATACATATTATATTTTTCTACTATAATTTTTCAAAACCTTTTTGCCTTTTAAATCAAACACAGGAGGGTCCAACTTCCTTGGCAACATGGAGACACTTCTAATCATCTGAAAATTATGATAATAAATTAAGTAGAGGAAAAAAATATGTCACTATCAAAATAAATATCAGCTTATAAAAATAAATAAAACTGTGGAAGAGAAGAATTAAAATTAGATTAGGGAACTATTTAATTTCCTAATTTTTCAACAGCTACTACCTATACATTAGCTGTAACTATTTAGGTCATTCTGTGCCTTTCCTTTATTAGAAATACTGCTGTATTTGAGAATGAAGCAGTAAAAAAAGAGCCGAAGGATGTTTTGAGTAATATTACTATTGTTCCAAAATCCCGGAATCGCTGCTGTTATATTCACTTCGGAAGCTAATTTGACCCTCTGAATCAAGTGAAAATAGATGTTAACCTTGAAAATACCTACACTCTGACCCTTTACGGCAAGTTTGCTGACCCTCCATCACCAAATGTTCTCTGCCTGGTACAGTCAGCTGCCCCCAGACACAGAAACAAGGGAATCCTGCCCCCCCGGGTGACAATCACAGAATAGCCTGCGGGCCTGAGACATCTCCTGAATCCTGGAGACCCTCACTACCTACATCAGTTAAGTGGCCTTAAAAATCGAGTTTTAGCCCTGGCTGGTTTGGCTCAGTGGAGAGAATGTCAGCCTGCGGACTCGAGTGTCCCAGGTTCGATTCCGGTCAGGGCACATGCCCAGGTTGAGGGATCGATTCCCAGAGCGGGGTGTGCAGGAGGCAGCTAATCATTGATTCTCTCTCATTGATGTTTCTAACTCTCTATCCCTCTCCCTTCCTCTCTGTAAAAAATCAGTTGGGCTAGAAAGGGAACACATGTAATACTTTCAACAATAAAGATTTAAAAAAATAAAATGAAGTTTTATTTTATTTTTTATTTATTTATTTATTTATTTTGAAGTTTTATTTTTAACGGAACCCCAGTGTAAGGTCATTTAGGTCAAGTGCCCGGCATAATGCTGACACACAGCACGCCCTCAAAGGGATGGCTATTAATATTATTAAGGATGGATTTTATATTTTTAAATGGTTGGGGAAGTAGCAAAAAAAAAAACCCAAAAACAATGTCTCATCACACATGGAAATGATCTGATATTCAAATTTGTGTGTGTATTAAAGTCTTATTGGAGACAGCACACTCATTCATGTATGCAGTGTCTATGGCTACTTTTGGAGTTGGGCGGTCTTGTCAGACACTGTGTGGCCAAAGCTTAAAATATTTACTCTCTGGCCTTTTGCAGAGAAAGTGTCCCGACGCCTATTCTATAAAATGAAAATACAGGTCCTCATTGAGGACCTGATCGCGTCAGTTCATTACAATGTTGATGAGATGCCTTGATGAGATGCCATAGGAACTGAACTCTTGTGTGTATCCATTGGCCTGTGGCAAAACTTGTGTCATTGTATGTTGTTCTGCTTAAGGTCCAAGCACCTACTCATGACCCTGAGTGAGGACTCACTATACTCATGTTTCAGTACTAACAGTTTAAGATAAAAGCTAAATGTAAGGGTAACAATGTTCTCGTTTTCGAAACCAAGAACACATGGTTATATATCATCTGAACGGCCCTGTTCACGTCCACAGCAACAGAGCGCCTCTGAGGAAACCGGATTTCCTGCTACAGGGACTGAAGCGACCGTGAAAGGCTCGCCGGGGGAGGGCGAGCAGCAGACACGCACTCTACCTCATTGATCTCATTAGTCCTTCTGCCTTCGAAGCTGGCGAACACCGCGCTGCCTTCCTTGCTGGGGGTCACGGGGACAGGTGAGGAGGATCTGCTATGCACGGGTGTTTCTTCGGAAGGAACAGATGTTGGTTATTCACTGAGTAATCACATGGCTGGGGAGGAAAACAGCTGGAAGACGTTACAGACAGCAGAGGACGAACTGGTCTCTAACAATAAGACCCTCCTATGACAACACAGCACCTAGAAGAGTGGTTGGCAAACTGCGGCTCGCGAGCCACATGCGGTTCTTCGGCCCCTTGATTGTGGCTCTTCAACCAAATACCACGTGCAGGTGCGCACATACAGTGTGATTGAAACTTCGTGGCCCATGCGCAGAAGTTGGCATTTTGTAGAAGAGCCACATTCAAGGGGCCAAAGAAAGGACTCAAGTATTAACAGAAGCTATAGCACGATGAACCTTGGAAACTTGCTGCTGAGTGACAGGAGCCACAGACAAAAGGCCACACTTTGTCTGACTCAGTGGGTCACCGGTCGTGCCCAGAGGCAGATCCGTAGGGGCAGCAAACAAGTGGCGGGTGCCCAGCATCAGGGGAGGGAAGGGGGGGTGACTGCCAACTGACTGGCGACCCAGAGCTAACCCAGGGGCACCGAGCACCCAGCTACAGCCAGCATGT